TTAATCTTACCTAAGTCTTTAGTTGTAAATGCATGAAATGATAATATGCTAAGCTTAGGGGTGCTTCATTTGCTGCTGAATACTGGTAATAGGATAGGACTTGTGTCACCTTATTGATCTGTGTTTACACACCACCACTGAGCAGACAAGCTTAAGGAAAGGACCACATTTCCTTTGATAAGAGGTATGCCAACTACTTCCCAATGGCCTGACAAAAGGGAGGAAGGGAATAAACATGCTCCCTTTGAATCAGAGGTCTCCTTTTCATTTAAGTCAGAAGATTTGCAGGCAGTATCCTCCTCTTTGATATACTGCCTCAAGAATACCTGGAGGGAGAGAGCCCATCTGAGCAGAAAAGACTAGGGTGCCATCTTCTCCTTAGCCCTGCCCATACCTAGCCATATTCCTCCAGAAGACAAGTGTATAGGGAATTAAGTACTTTTTTTCTCATAGCATTACTTCTCTAGCAGCTCAGTTTCCTAAACTGATTTGCTTTCCAATGCTAGTGCTGGCTTGAAGGAGGGAGTAAGACCACAGCAGCCCTGACTTACATTTGCATGAAGATGCTGTGATGTTGCATGTCCCATTGCTGTGTCTGTTAAGGCTACGCCCGCTTCAGGTGCCCATATGACCCAGAACAGGGACAAAGAGCTCTTCAGGAGGAAGGACTGCACTGCCTTGCATGCATGGGTGAGCCAAACACTGTAAGCAGCCTGGAAATACAAATCAGAAAGCCATCAGGGCTCTGGCTAGCAAATCCGGAGAGAGCCAGTCATTCACTTCTAACTGAACAGTGGGGGGGACCAGCAGTGTAAGTCTCCATTCATCCACAAACATCCTCTTTCTCCCCTCCTTCTCCCAGGAAAGTAAATGCCACATCTTTTGTACTTCTTAAAATATCCCTTGTTAACATAATGAGGCCATTGACAGTAACCTCAGCTCAGCATCCTACCACGATTCTGACAATTCAGCAGCATCCTCACTGCTCCAAGGAATTGGAAAACACAAGCAGTGCGGAAAACACAAACATCAATGTGCAAAACAAACACATCTAATGTATCAGAGCAGCAACAAAGAGCATCCAGAGACTGCAGGGAAAGCACCTATTTGTTGTGGAGAGCAAACCCAAGGGGCATAATGAGCTGGTGAGGCACAGTTCAGCTTCTGGGGATTCAGAAAGTAATTAAGGAAGGCAGAAGTCAGCAGAACAGCATATTACACCATGACTTTGTTAAAGGCGTCAGCACTCATCCCCTACTGAGAAGTGCTCTCTTTCCCTCCACCCCCCGCACATTTTATTACCAAAACCCAGGGTCATCTCACACAAATGGAGAAGTTAATTTTAAAACCTCAAAATGCAGCTTGGAATCTTAGACTTTCTGTGCGGGAAACGTATAGAGGAAACAAGAGAAAATCAAGTAAGAAGAAGGTTGGTCAGACCGTGACTTGAAATGAAACTACAGCTGCAAAACTTCATGGGTTTTTATGGCTGGGGGAGCCCACAGCAACATTTTGGTCTCCTGACAACACAGGCAGAGGCACGAAACCCACCACCATATGGGTAGATCAGCACATATCTGCCACAGGTTCTACTGAAACCAGGCCTGATACCTGGCGCCAGTGCAGCTCTGACCTCAGTCCAAAACAAGTGTTTGTTTTAAACATGAATCAAAGAAAAGCCTGTCTACAGCTGGTTGTCTCAATACACTGATTGGAATGGGGTATATCTTACACTGAAGAGCATGCAAAGCTAAGGGGTCGTTTTCAGGCTAGTATGGTTGCACAGTTCCACGTTTTAAGGTCCTTGGAGTTTTGGTAGGAGACCTTGCTCTCGCTCATTTGCCTTTCTGTTTTCAGTTATAGCTAAATACCCTGTGTGTGGCCGAAACTGGACAAAAAACAACATTGTTATGAGAAGGAGTGATCTCATGGCATTTCCGAGCAGGCAGGGTACCAGGCACTGCAGCAGTGTGTTGCCATTACTGCAGCAACCGGAATATTAGGAGAGTTTTCCTGAATGACACAATATGGAGAACAGCAGGCTTGCCTATGCTGCTTTGCAAGGCCAGCACCACATGGCCCAATACATCATCCCAGATGAGGCCAGACCCTCTTTGCAAGCTGACTTTTCCAGAAAAGAGGAAAAGATCAAAGCTGTGGGAGTACTTTTAAATACAGAGAGAGCTGCCTTGCTCTGTTCTGCTGCATGAGAGGGACTTTGTTGGAGAATTAATTGCTTTTATGTCAAGAGAGTAACCTTGCAGTGCCTCCACCCCATTCCCAGCCAAGCTGACCTTCATTACACCTTGACTCTTTCAGCCCATCTGCCTATACATTAGGACAGATGGGTTACGCCCTTTCCTTCTCCTGTAATACGCATGAACATCTCCGCAGTGCTGTTGGCACATAAAAGCTTTTGCCCTTTCTGTTTCCCTCCCTAGATAATGAGCCATCTATTAAGGAGGCAGATGCAGTTTTAGCTGGTGATATCTTATGTAATTATGTGGGTGAACAACAGAGACAGAGAGAACAGAACATGGTGGAAACCAAGGAAAGCCAAACAGGCTGAATTGCCAGAGCCTCGTGAGCTGTAATGTCACCAATGCTCTTCCCCTTTCTTATGCCCCTGCCACTGGGGCCTTCAAGACAAGGTTTGTTCCCCACACTCCCAATCAGCCCTTTTCCCACACCTGTAATCTATCAGACTCTTTAAATAAGCCTGGAAGTCCAGCTTTTCCCATCAGTGTCAAGTCCTTACATCAACCAGCTCAGGACAGCTGGACATCAAGTCTTAGCCCTAGCCTCCCAGAGGAACTGGGTTTTGTCTGAGATTTGCGTGTTTTATCAATCCCCCACTCTTATCTGTCAGCCAAATAACCTTTCCACTCACTTGATTTCTTTGGTATAATGTCCACCATGTGTTTGTGTGCTGTTCCTTCGCCTGTGCCTGTATTCACCTGGACTTCCAGATGTTCTCTGGTCAAAACTGGTGCGGCAAGGCTGCCACCCTTACTCAGCCAGGGAATATTGCAGAGGCCCTCTTTGAGCAGAAAAACAGCAATACTGGTACCGAACAGGGAATAAGCGTGGAAGAAACACAAGAAGCTAAAAACATTCTTCAGACTTCGGCGATGTACGGCTAGAACAGTCACAGGGGGATTTGGGTCCCAAACATTGCTTTGCTTCTGTGCAGATCTGTGATTTGTTTTAGATGTGGGTGCAAATCCAGCCCAACTCTCACAGCCTCCTGATCTGAATGATAAGTTTGGCCTTGGGGTGAAAAGAAAGGGTTTTGGGTTAAGTTCCTGCAAACTGCTACTGACCTTACCGTTTTGTTATTTTTACTCTGGTTACTCACCCATCCCTACCCTAAAGCTGACATAAGCTTGGCGCACAGACCTCTCCTGCGGGATCCACTTGTAGCTGCCAGTCCTGCACGCACACACACACATTAAATCTTACCTAATGAATAATTACCAGGGGACTGGGACATTTCATTCTCCTGATAACAGCACACACCTCAGGGAATGAAATAACGTTTTGAGGCTGGACACAAATGGATGTCACGGTTTACATTACGTGATGGTCATTGCAAAGCCCAGACACAACATGAGGAAACAGGTAGGAAAAAAGTGCCCTATGGGCTGGAGTCTGTATATTAACCTGGGAATAGGCAGGGTTTTCTTGGAAGATTTTATAATTCAGAACAGCAGTGCAGGGGTGAGATGAAGTACTGCTGCTTTCACATCACAGATTGGAAATGCATGCATAGATCTGAGAAATGACATGCACAAGATTGCAGAGGAACTTGGTGGCAGAGCCACAGACTCTCCTTTGCACCTATTTCTTGATGCTTTACCTACAGCATCTTCCCTCTTACTAGTGGTGTGTGAACCAAAGAAGGTCAGAGGGGAGCTTTGCTCGCACAGGCATAGCAGGAGCACTAAAGGTCACCGAGGCAACAGAAGCTGGAAATCCTACATGGGACATGACATCTCTGGCCTTGGGGTTACATCTGAGCCTCCCGCCCAAGGAAATAGGTGCTGTCTTGGGATACTCACTCCAGGGAGCTGTTACACTGCCTCCTCTTCCGCAGCAAAAGTAGATACAATATCTGACCTGCCCACTACATAGCCACAGACAGCCCTCACATCAAATGTGGCTGTGTCTCCCTGTTCTCCTCCTTTTCATTTCATGCTGGTGAAAAATACTCTGCTGATTACACTGGAGTCTACTGACCCACACATCGCAGTGATGAAACTTCTCCTTCACCTCACCCAGCCAATGCACGTGCACCAGGATGTCCTGGGAGCAGCTTGAGGGCCGGAGGGGCAGTTTGGTTTCCATTGTTCACTCCCACATCAGCCTCTCGGACAAAGATGCAAAGAAACTGGTGCCAAGTGGAAGAGGTCAGAGATGCCGGCGCACACTTGTCAGACTGGATTTGCAGCGACACTGTGTTTCTAACTCACAGGCCAGCAAACACTCTGCTGCTGCTCCAGGGTTGTGTTTCCTCCTGCCAGATGGACCTAGATCTGTGCTAGATTTGCGTTCACTAACACACTGTAGTCTTTGCTTCTAATTTCTTGCATGGCTGCCTCCTTTGCCCACCACGTTAGAAGGGGATTTGAGTCCAAAATGTGAGAGCATCATGCAGGAGGCAGAATGATACTGGGGAAAATAGCACATGATGCTGTAAATAGAGACTACATGGGAAGGAACATTCAGAAAGGCTGAATTAATACGTTACGGACAACTTTACATTTGAATACAATTTAAATAGGTTCACAGAACACATAAGTGAATATGTTTTCCGATCTCTAAAATGGATAGTCTATAAATAGACCTCTAAGCTATTAAAAGATATTTTAAAAAACCATTAAAGCATTAAAAAGACATAAAATTATATTTATTCCTCAAACTCTCCACAAAAATCACTACAGCCTTTTTTTCTGCCCTTTGAAAAACAATGGGAAACAAACTGTTTTATCTTACTGTACCTGCTGTTAATGCCTTTATGGGGGAAGGTAATTGCTAAGCACATCGTGTTGAACAATTTGTTACTTCATTAGAGGAACATTGTCATTCTTTGGAGATGGCAGAAGAGAATTCCCCTGTATGACCTTTTGGAAAGTGGAATCAGTGACATTACTGAGAAACCAAAGTTGAGAAGCTTAAAAACAGACTTAAGAAGGGTTTCCCATGCCTCCTGAAAAAGACACAACACGCACTTCCACCAGAGCCGAGCTAGCTTATTCCAGCCCTTTTTAGACCATTAATGATTTGTGCCTAACTAGCACAGCATTCACTGATGAAAGCACTGCAGGGCTCCTGTGCACAGCCCTGCTCTCGTCATCACAGCAGTACAGGACATAACACCGTGGGCTGCCTGTACTTGGAGAGATGATCATGAGCTCGATTGTGTGCTACAAACAAAGGGAGAGCCATTATCAGACCCTGTCTTGCCAGGCTGCATGAAAAACCGCCTCTGCAAATTGCATAATGCCCCTGGATGTTCCCAGCAGTGCCATGGCAGGCCCACGGGGCTGGCGCTCGGACAGGGAGGAAGCTGGATCTCCTCCCTCCCACCCTCCCAGCATGGGAAAGCTCAGGAGAGCTGTTGTGTAGGCAAAAAAAAAACCCTCACTTATCTCCTGGGAAAGAGCTGTGCTGCTCTGGAATGACATCTGATGCACAGAGCTGTGGTCATGGATCAGAGGGAGCCTGGCATGGTGGCAAGATGCAGTGCAGAACTTCAGGAAGCATCTAGAAAGGGAAACAGGAGAGATGTCACACTTGTGTGTTTGTCACATCCATGTCCCTCAGCCCACGCTCATCGTGTTCACTGAGACAGTGCACCCCAGTTTTGATCGGTCCCTGTGCATTTTAATAAGAAACTATCTAAAGAACAGGTAAACAGTGCAAATACAAAGCCTGTGTATAAAGAAGACCCCATCTCACAGAGCACAGAAGAGGTGTAGTCTAACAGCACAGCAAAGCTGATGTGGTACCTTGTTCCCTGCTGTTCATGGGTTGGATGAATATCTGTGTCTGCACCAAGGAGGGATGAGAAGCACAGTGCAGCTGGGACAGAGAGAGGGGGCTGCCAGATTGCCTCAGAGGTATTGTCAAAATGCAGTGTGAGGATGAAGACTCCAAGGAGCACAAAATTCCCACCGGAATGGCAAGTGTTGACATTCCCAGACGATGCTGAGTGGGCAAGATTTCACCATGAGCGAATGTGACCGTGATATGCAGTGTGTGTGACCTATGCAGCTTCATTTCAATTGCCTGAGAGTCCATATGCTTGGAATGTCTCCTCCTCCACCTCCTCCTCCTCCTCTGCTGTTACTGGTGGCACCAGGGATTTATAAGGCAGCAGGGAGCATTTCCTAATATCGGTTGGGTGTAACTTTCCAGTATGACTGATGGTGCTATTAACTGTGGCAAAGGGAAGAGCACAAGTGGGCAGGCAAGGAAGAGCGCTTCAAACCCTGGAGATGAATGATAACTGATATTAAATAGTTCTATGTATGCAAAACAAATGTTTGAAGCTGGCAAGGCAATGGGTACAGACATTGCTGGGTTTATTAAAGAAGGGGAAAGCTATTTAGACAAGTGGAGCCTATGTAGTAAAAAAGGTCTATGTAAACAAGACAGAAAGGAGGAGGACACAGTGAAGATAGAGTTGCAGGAGAGTTTTAAACTAAAAACTGGGAGTAAGAGAGGTGTGGAAGAGCACAGTTTGGCTGAGGCTCTCAAATCACTGTGATAATAAAAAAGATAGGACAGAAGGCGATGGAGATAAGTGGAAAACAGAGACCAAACTTGATCAATGAAGCCCAAGTTAACTAAGGTGTGCACATACACACACACAAAACACACAAAAATAAGTAGCTAGCCCATGACCACCTTTAAAACCATTTCTGAACAAATGGCAGTGATCTCAAAGTAAAGGAAGATGAGTTAGAACACTTGGCTTTAAACAGGGATATTGGCAACACAAGTATCTGGTAAACTTTCTAGATAGAACTAATGAGTAAATACTGTTATACCAAGTTTAAACAGTATAAATGTCGGAACAGTTGATGTGAAATAGGGAAAGATAAGTAAGTGACTCAAGTTCTCAGAAGATCTACATAGATTAAATGTACCAAATCACCTTTAAAAAGGGGAACAACGTAAAAGTGAGGAAATTCATTGAAATCAGTAGCTAAAAATAGTAAGCACTTGTAGGTGATATAAGATTGTTTAAAGACACCCTGCAACAGGCTCAGCATCAAACAGAAACCATTCAAAGGGAAAGAAAAAGCAAGTCAATGTGATTAAGCCATGTAACACTTCTGAGATGTACAACTGAATTCTTCAAAGAACAGGGAGTTCAGGAAGGGAAGGGAACAGGAAGTCTGACAAAGTGGATGTGAAACTACAATAAAGTACAATAAAATTAAAAGCAACTTGCTGAAGGCATACATTTAAGTGATAAGACTTTTTCAAGCACAGCAAGAGCAGGAGGCTGCCAGGGGGTTTGTGAGGTCCGTGGATGATCCATATGTAAAATAAGCACTTGAGAGTGACAGGCCAAGTAGAAAATCAAAACAAATGTGTTCTGTTGGTATTTCTGGTGGAACTCTCATGCTGCATTACTCTTTAAGGAGGATCAGTCTTATGGGGCAATATCATGATACCTTCAGCAGGACCAGGCTGAGGCCACTGTGACTTTCTCCCTTCTCCTTGGTCAGGATTTCCTGCCCTATTCCTTGCATCAGTGCTGGTCACTGCCTGATCCCATGGTGAGTCAGCTCAGGCAGTGAAGTCAAACTCAAACAAGTCACCAAGGGCATGGGCAATACTGCACCCTGCCTGGGATGCAGAGGCAGTCTCCAGAGCCAGGGACTCCCTGTGCTGGTGTTGTGAACCACCAACTTTTCCAGGGAGAAGTTTGATAAGGGACTTCGAAGACTGGGCATGCAGAGGGAAAAACCACCAGCTGGAAGCTCAGCCCAGCACACAACAACAAAGAAACATGATGGAGGAGCTGAGAGAGGGGTTGAGACCTGGGACATTAATATAAGTACATTCCCGGGTCTCCTCCTTGCCAGGAAATGGGCAGGTGTTGGAGGAACCCCAGAACTATGCCATAAACGTATCTGGGTTCACTGCTGCACGCAGGAGCCAACAAATCTCACCCACTGAGCACAGAGCCGGCACAGCCCATCAGGCTTCCTCATCACACTGTGCATGGGTACCACTCAGCAGGCAAGGAAGGCGAGTGTGCTGAGGATGTGAATATGACATTTTTTAGTTGTCTGGTTCACAGACAGAGCAGGTGGAGGTTAGTCAGCCCACTGAAGTGATTCATGGAGGCTCGCAAGGGCTGATATCCTTTACCTGATGTAGAACTGACACAAAGCAAAGCATTCACCTTCCATTGAACTCCTATATAAATTAGGATTTACCCACCTCACGAGGTTGCTTCAATTGATATGGTCAAAGCTCGGAGATTCTTAGGTACACACACAAATTGTTTAAGCAGCTTTTAAGCAGTTCTCTTTTAAATGTGAAACAGACACAGTTATATCAAGGTCCTTTCAGTTGGATATGTGACCAAGATGAAAGTGAGTGTCTGGAGCTGATCATCTTCAAAGTGGGAGCACCTGGGGGGGCTGCTCTGTATGGATGCCAAGCACCACACAGGCACTGGAAATTCAAACCATTCCAGCTCGTGATTTGTTACAACCAGCCTTTTCCATCTGAGCTAGATCAGGCTGTGAATCAACATGGCACAGACTTCCTGCGATGGACAAAACCAGGCTGCACTCATTTAAAGTAGTGGCATAGTGAAGTTGTATCCTTTTCATTTCTGAGCACTTCTGCTTATCCAATAATTAAGCAATTTAAAACCTTTCAGTTTTCCCATAAACATCTGCCACAAGCAGTTACATTTAGCCATGTCTTGGCAGGTCTTACTTCCATGAGCAGCTTTTTCACCATCATTTCTAGATTTTTAATGGTAGCTCTCCAAGACTTTATTTGGAACCACATTGTGCTGTCTGAAGGAGAAAGAGAGACACTGTACTTTATCCAGAAAACAAACAGGATTCTCTGAAGCCAAGCACAGCCAGAAATACAAATAGATGACTGTCACAGTATCTGACATGCTAACACTAATTAAAACAAAATTAAGTGAACATAATGAGCCTTTGACGATCACTTCTTTTCCTTAAATTTGGTTATTTGGAATTTCCTAGCCACATGGATCGTCTAAACCTAAAATTCAAGTGGTCCTTTTCTTCTCCAAGTGTCCACATGCTCTGTCTGAGGGCACTAGAGACTTTTCAGGGAGCTGTGGTTGGGAACACTGTCTCCTATCTGTCTCAGCCAAGCTCCTGAGCCATGCTGGTACAGAGGGCAGGCGAGGTCGGTGTTCAGATTCCTCTGAGTGAAGCTGGAAATCTTGGCAAATGCTTTCAATGTGTTGGGTATTTTATTCCTAACATCCTTCCCTGAAACATCACATGGTCCAGTCATGCCATATGGTCTAACAAGCAAGCTTAAGGGTTAGGTTGTTGCTGTTTTTCCTATCAGACCTTAGGTCACCATCCATTAGGCCTTAGGCACTTTGAGGCTCACGCATGTAATTAAATCCAGTTAAACGAAGACTAAAATCCATCTTGTCTTTATACCATCTTGAGTGCTGACCTGAAATAAGTTGATGATGTGTTTGCACTTTTCAGCACTCTGCAGTGGAGGTCAAACACATCCCATTTCTCATGCTGGGATTAATATTGACTACTGGCTAATTGAACCTCTCAGCTTCCATGATACCAATACATCCAACACGCATTTCCAAATGTTTTAGCCATTCTCATGGCTGCCATTATCATGGTCTCTGATCAATCTCATAGTCTTGAATGCATGTACACCTACCACATCTCTGTGACTGACAGGTGCTTCCTTACCAAGAGCAGAAATGGACATTTCCAAAGGAATACATGTCCTACACCATGACAAACACCTTCCAGCTCCCTGGGGTCCTTGGAAGCCAGCACAATCACTGCACCAACTGTTCTTTCCCATTTTCCCTCTAACAAAGACAAGGGGCAAATCCCATTGGCATCTATGAGCATCTTACCACGGGGTTCACAGACCTTCCGCAAACTTGACTCAAACCTGATTGCTCCTGCCAGCCTTCCTGTGTTCCTGGACATTGCAGGGTAACTGCTAAGGACAGAAATAAATCCTTTGTTTACTCTGGTAACTGGAGAGCTGCTTTAACCTCTGGCTAAAAACAGGTGCATTTTCCTACCAGGTTCATGAGTCACTCAGCCCAGGAAAAACGGGTGAACTTGGAAAGCGCTTATTCAACAACAGGAAAGGATGAGTTTTTAACTGAATGGTGGCAAATTTCAGCATCTGGTTTTCCTGGGTGGCTTTTTCATTTTAAAAATCATGTTAAGCCATTGGCTTAACACAGCTCAGGCCTGTTCCTCGTGAATTCCTTTTCTGTGTGGTATTTCAGCATCATACCCACTTTGGGATGGAAAACTCTACTGGTGTTAGACTCCTACAGGAAATAGCAGGTGTAATGTGTGACTACATAAACAGTGCAGGCAATTAGTACCTCTGTAATAGATTTTTTGCTCGATCCAGCATAATCAGACCTTTCAGCACAGGGACTTGAATTTCTTTTTTCCTTTTCTGATGTGAAAACAAAGTGCTCCCTTTCCACAGAGCTGTTTTCAGAGAAAACAGAATTGCCTCTCACAAGCCATCTGGCCAGGAACAGCCAAGGAATTCTGAAGAGGTGACCTTCAAAGGTGACTTCTTTTTGATGGATTAAAAAACCCCAACCTGCAATATCTTTCCGTTCCAATTTTAACACCAGGAATTCAGGTCTCATCACCCTGTTTTTCCACAACTGAAGACCTATGACGACATCCTGAGAAGCTGCTCTGTTCTCCACTGCACAGTTCACTCATGCTCCCACTCAATTAAAATCAGCAGCTCTTGTTGTACACAGAGGAAAAGCCACAGACCCGTGCTCCCAGTCTAGACCAATTTACATGGGTGGCTGCAGAGGACAGAACGTGGGACTGGACCTTCCCTGGTTTGCGCTGTGACTGCAGACTGGAAAAACATATAAAACCCACCTGAATTGTGGTGGTTCTCCAGTGCACCTCCTCTAGCTCCCTGTGGCAACCAAGTGGCCATGAAAGAATCCTGTAGCCTCCCAGTACCACAAAAGTCTGTCTCAGTGGTCACGTACACACAGATTATTAGCACAGAGTCAGCAAGGTCATGGAAACATGGGCAGGTCCCTGCTTGAGATGGGGCCAGGTTAACTGTGCAGTGAAAACGAAGCTGGTTGTTGTGTTAAATCTCTGATGGTTTTGCTAATGCCTCACTAAGTGAAGTGATCGGAAATAAAGAGAAGCCACCTGGTCCTGCATGGCAGGGATGTTCATGTCTATGTCCTTCAAGGAAGATCAGTGCATGAACTGCAAAGAGAAGGCTGGACATTCTTGGCATTGCAAATGAAGCAGAGAATTCTATCTTTGGCGTAATGGAGGAAAACATATATAAATTCCTCTTAACAGAGCTTTACAGAGGAACATGAGCAAAGTATCCTCCCCTTTACAAAAGTCTTTGTTTTATATCGTAAACTAGAAATATTTCCAGTTCTTGCACATTCCTCCCTCTCCCCCTGCCCTGCCCCACTTCAGGTCACTTTGATACCAGCACTACTTACAAAACCAACAGAAAGTCAATTACCCACTACATTGTTGCAGGGTTAATTTTTAACCTCTTCCAGCTGCAGTCAGCTGGCTCGATAACGTGTTCCTCCAGCCAGTGATGAAGGGACAGCTTTCCATTCATGCCATACGTGATTTGGAGGATACTGCATGAAGGAAGAGTCACACAGAGCCACAGAGCATGCTTGCTGCCCCATCCTGGACCCACACCAGGACAAGAGGACTGCAGCAGCCACATGTGCATGGAAGGCTGTGGGGATGGACATAAGAGGGAAGATGAGATGAGTGTGACATGTGTGTCTGAGAAAAATGATGTTACTTTGGGTCACTGTGATTCTTGGAGGTCTACAGGAAGGGTTTCAGTGTCCCAGGCAGTGCTTGTTCACCATGACCAAAGGCAGCATCAACAGGCTTATGGGGAACAGAGCACGGGCCAATATCTGTCATTGAGCTCTCTGGGGGTCACAGACCCCAGACTTGGTAGAGCAGATGCCAGCACACACTATACACTCACTAGTTGCTGTCAGAGGCAGGATTCGCAAAGCATAAAGAAACCCTGGTAGGCCACCTACCCAAATCAGTTGTCACTTGGCTCACACAGGGACCCCCAGCCTCACAGCTGCAGGAGCACAGAGCTGGTCACCCACCCAGCTGGGGAGAGGCATGGGCATGAACATCATGTGGGGCCCTACAATGTGGGGGGAGCCCAAACAGAAAGGATCCTGATCCTCTCTGCCACCTCCTGCAGCCTCAGTGCCCAGCCATATGTTCCAGCTGAACCAGCTTGCTAGCCTTGCAAAACACACAGATCAGACAAATGTGAAATAAAACCCACCAAAACTTATAAAATAAAAGGGATGAGCAGATATTTTGTAGCATAACAAATTTAACCAGCTCATCCAAAGCACATTCAAAGAGCACCAGCGCTGTTGTACATGGTTGGAGAAGGTGACAAGGACCAGGACTGGGGGGGGGGGGGGGGGGGGGGGGAGGATTTTCTCTCAGGTGATGAGTAGCTGCTAAAATGCCTTTCACCATGGCACTGGAATGGGTGGCCCAAGGAAGTTGTGAATGCTCCATCACTGTCACTGTGTTCAAGGCCAGGCTGGACAGAGCCTTGGGTGAGATGGTTTAGTGTGAGGTGTCCCTGCCTATGGCAGCGGGGTTGGAACTGGATGATCTTAAGGTCCTTTCCAACCTAAACTACTCTATGATTCTGTTCTATGATTCTATGGCAAGAGCAACACCTTTATGCTCTATTGAGGGAACAACCACTTGAAGCTGCAGATATCCAAGCTGAAGTAAGACTGGCAGTGCCTGCCCTTTCCCTGGTTCCCTCTTTCAGCCTTCCCATGTCCATGGCCGTGGGGCTGCACCAGAACTAGTGCTGGCATGGAGAGAACAGTTTTACACTGGATCCAAGTGCCTGCGTGCCCATGTGGTTATGGCAGGACTTTAACAACGACAAGGAAGAAAGATTTGCATCTTGCTGAGAAACATTTTATGATGTGTGTGATGTTTTGTCAAGCCTCTTTCCAGAGCTACATCCATGGACTTGTCAATTGAGAAACAAACAATCATCACAATCATCTTCTGCTTTTCAACTGAAGAAGTATGACCTGCTCTGTGAAACACCCCTAACTGAGGAAAGCCCCAACTGCAAATACTTTCCCCATAGGTGTACTTTGGAACAGAACTGGATCGGAAAAGCCTATGAAAAACAATAACGCAAAACAACCAGGCTGGTGATGCCTGCATAGGCAGCAGCCCAGCTTCAATAGCCAAGGTCATGCATGACAGCAACCTCCCAGCTAGATAAGGCTGGAAGGGGAGATTTTAACAACCTGCCTAAAGAACAGCCCAGCATGGCCAGCCCAAACTGGGTGAGAAGAGCAACATTCAGTAGAGTGGGTGAAACAGAAGGGCAACAGGACCATGCTCTGCTATATAAGTGGCCATATGTTCTATTTAAACATAGTTATTCTGATCTCAGCCATCCTTACTACCACTAGCAAGGAAACAGGTTACATTATTATGTGTGCCTTGTATAAAAAAAGAACTACTACTACTGCTGAAAATATCTCTACCTCTGTGACAATTTAATCAAGGCTTCCTGGTTCTCCTCCACACTCCTGAGCCCTATGGGATTAGGCCACCTTTAGGGCAGCCAGCGTAACATGCCAATCACAATCATTTCTAGTTGCCTGCTTTGGAGCCAGTGTACTCAAAAGCCAGCTCAGCCTACTCTGAGTCCATCCATCCAACACCCTCCCTGCTAAGCCAACACCATCTCTCCTAATGGCAGAGAAAAGGGAGTGGTGAAAAGCATGGAGAAAGAGGATCTTTGTGCCCTGCCAATAGTGGAGATTGAAAGCACCAGTGAAAGGGAAGGTTGATGGTTTGGTATGCGTTCACAGCAGAGATGGAAAGGATGTCAATACAGAAAAGTGTGCCCTGCAGCTCTCATAGCACCAGTGCTGTAACATGCATGCGTTTCTGGGCCACCTAATAATAGCAGAACATTGATAAACAGAGGGCTGGGACTAGGCTGGACAGTGAGAGGGGAAAGTGATGACCACAGAGGAAAAGCTGATGGGGGAGGAAGCAGGAACTGATTAATAGGAGAAAATTAGAAGCATGTTGTTAGCTCCACTATCAGTTAGCTCCACCTGCAAATGAAGAACATAAGTGGGCAGCCTTGTGGCAAGGAGGCATGGGGTGTTCATCACCATGGAGGTGATAAGGTGATGTCTCAGGGGAGGGACTGCAGTTTGATGGGAAGCAATAGCTTTTGGTTTTGCATTGCTCAGTTTAAACCAAACCAGCCCCATGCACCCATCAAGCTGCTGGGCTGCAATGCAGACCAACCTGGCGCTCTGTGGTCCAGCCCCCAGCAGGGAGAGAGAAAACAGCTTTGTCACTGCCTCATGCCATCCTCTGTCCCCCATCCTACACCACGGCCAGGGCCAGGCTGTTATTCAAGTGCTAATTTAACAAGATGCTCCAACTTCGGCAGGATCTGGTCCTTCAGAGGTCCATAGGGTAAGACCATGACACAACGCAGCACATTGCAGTGAAAGAGAAAATTCAGTGACGGGGAATCCTTCCTCCCCTCCCTGGCCCCAACCAGGAGAAGCAGCATGACCTCTCTGCATACTCACAGAGCTTCTTCTCAGGAAGTAAATTGCTAGTAAATATACCAACACGTGTAAAGGCTCAGTTATTTTTTTCCAACCTTTTCAAGGACTTGGCAGCCATGAAGATGGATGGGAGGGTCTAGTTTTGGTAAGAAATTAGTGACATAGAATCACAGAATGGTTTGGATTGGAAAGGACCTTAAGATCACCCAGTTTCAACCCCCTGCCATGAGCAGGTACACCTCACACTAAACCATGTCACCCAAGGCTCTGTCCAACCTGGCGTTGAACGCTGCCAGGGATGAAGCATTCACACCTTCTTTGGGCAACCCATTCCAGTGCCTCAGCACCCTCACAATAAAGAATTTCTTCCTTATATACAATCTAAACTTCCCCTGTTTAAGTTTTAACCCATTACCCCTTGTCCTATCACTACAGTCCCTAATGAAGAATCCTTCCCCAGCATCCTTACAGGCCCCCTTCAGATACTGGAAGTGAGGTGGTGACATCTCACAATTCTTGTTTATGTGTCAGGCTTTAAGGAACCAGTGCTCCATTGGCAGGACCTGAGCAAGGCAGGACTTAACCACTGCAGGGAAGAGCGGGTTGGAAGAAAATCCCTTGTGGATTCCCAAAACAGCTATGTGCTGATCTGGTCCCAAGGTGACTAATAACAATCTGGGCTGATCTGACCCTGTGGCTTTACAGGGAAGTTAAATACTTCTCATAATCCTTTTCCATTCCGCAGCACACAGAGGCTCCCTCCCTTTGCTGGGTTCCAGGGAAGTACAGAGGAAGCTCAACCAAAATAACAATTTACTTCAGTGCTGTAAATGTCACAGCGATGCTCATGGGAGGGAAGCGGGGAATTTCATTTGATGTGTGCTAAAGTGTCCTAACTGGACTGTGTTCAGATGTGGCATCTCAAGCCCCACAATAGGGGACCAAAAGCAAAGAACAAAAAACACACATTGAAACCAGTCTCTGTCAAAACACAGTGTGAGTGGGGCCACAGTGCACCTCACTCTTGTTCAGCTTTGCTAACTATCCTTCCTTGGTCAGTTGGTTACTTGGTTGTAAAACACTATTTCCCTGGTCTTTGGTTGAACCCACTTCACCTGCTCTCCAGGCTTCATGGAAGCATTATCAGCCTTCAAAACCTCCTGCATTCCTCTTTCATGCTCCTATTCCTGCATCACATCATCCTCCACCAGCACGGAGGTGTCAGTTAGAGGATGATCCCAGGGCACTCATGCAATGCCATCAAAAAGCCACCATGTAGCCTGCTCACGCCACTTCCTCACCACTTGTTCCTATGATTCCCATTTTGTTGGAAAGGAGAGGCAGGAAAACAAATGTGACCTGTGCTTCTCCAGGGCATAGTCGCAGCAGCTCTTTCAGTCAAGTTAGTAAAAGGAACTGGCAGAAAGGAGCCTGTTATTCCAGTTCTGCGGGCCACCTGATGACAGGAGCAATTGATCCCGAATGCAAATAAAGATGTTACGAAATGAGTCAGTTGTCCTTAGAAGAAGCCTGCAAGCAGAAAACTGCATTTTCCCTTTCCTTAG